TTGAACATTTTTGGAAGGAGTCTCCAGTGTCAGTGCTTTGCACCACTCAGACATAAAGCTGTAACTTTAAGTTTTCTGGAACAGGAAAGTCTTGAGCTTGACGCTCTGTGGTTTCTCAGTTTATCTTTGCTTCAGTGCTTCATGTTGATTATTTTCCTATAACAGCATGCCATGTTGTGTTTTATTCTTTACATACTGTATAGTCTCACAAGCCAGGAACTGGAGGAACCTCCAAGTGAAGTGAAGTGACTTGTGGCCAAGTATAGTGACCCATACTTGGAATGTGTGCTTTGCATTTAACCCATCCAAGTGTACACTCACAGTAGTGAAAACACACACACCCGGAGCCTTTTCAAGGGTCTCACCTCAGTCATGGTATTGAGGGTGGAAGAGAGCACTGGTCCTTCACTCCCCCCACCTACAATCCCTGCCTGAGACTCAAACCCGTGACCTTCCGGTTACACGTTCCGACTTGCTAACCATTAGGCCATGACTGCCCCCTCATATGGCGGATGACCAACCACTAACTGTACTTTTCCCATAGCATGTTGGCAAACATGCAGGAGTATCTTGTTTTACTCATCAGTAGGTGTTTAGAGTTAAAGAAATAAAACCCTTTGTAATTAGGGCTACTGTATCCAAGACCAGCAGAGGCAGAGGCAGAGGCAGTAATTCTAATTGGAGCTTTCAGCACCAACTGAATTCGGTTCAGAATGAGGCAAAAAATCTGCACTTTCAACCATTTTGAGACTTTGGGCACAAGGGTGCGAACAGAAGTGTTGTAGACTGTGTTGCTCATTATTTCCATCATTTGTTCAAACTAGCATTAGTCTGTGTTATGAGCACATCAAATACTCATGATTTCTTTTAAGATATGCTGAGCTTGTAATTAAAAAGCCATGTTTTTTGGAAAAAAAACAAAAAAAAACATTCACCCGTTCTAGTAGATTGGCTAAACCCTGTGCCATGGTCAGTGATCATTTGTAAGACTTCTGATCATTAGCAGTGTAAATGAATCCCTACGCATTCAGTGTTTTGGAGTGAGGACCTAATGGACTACTCTTGGCACATTATTCTCTCATTCTGTTATATTACAATTTGCATATTCTCTTTAATACAGTGTGGGTGTCACATAGAAACTGAGCACATACAGTATATCAGTATGTCAGAGGTCAATAAGAAATTATTGCATAACCAAAGCCAATCGTCAAAAGGTCAGGAAGAGGTAAAACAGAGCTGCAACAATCTGTGCAATATCCATTATACATTATACACCCAAATGTGTAGATTATGTGTGTCATAGGTGTCATTTAGAGCATTTTCACATCTATTAGTTCATTTCGTGAGTCCAAATCAGAGCGAAATTGATACTTTGGGTGTGTTTCAGAATTCGGTTTGCTTTCATGCTGGAGATAATTAAAGGAACTTTGGCTGAGTGCCATGTAGGGCTGAAAATATACTCATCAAATTGATGGAGACAGAAAAAAAATGATAAAGAAACTTTTTCGCAGTGCATGTAGAAATCACAAAAAGTCAAAGAGAATTCAGAGCCTAATAGATTATATTATTTAAATAAATAACTAAATAAATAGTTGAAACATTTTGCTGTATTTCCTTTGTATTTTCTCTTTTTTGTCCAAATATGCAGAAAACATGACATTTCTGCAGCACTGCTGCACGTTTTGTGGCTCAGTTCAGCAGCTCACATCTGTGGAAAAAAAAGCTGCAACCCAAAACACACAGCATGTTTAGGTCATTTCCTAAAGCTTAGTCGATTCAGAGTCGAATAACTTTCTCTCTGCAGTTGAATTGCATTAGCGTTGACTTGGACGTGGACCGAGAACAGATCACTTGGCTTGTTCCCACCTAAATAAACCCCACTGAGGGGGAGAGCACACCAGAGTTGCATTCAAACAGACTAAACTCATATGTGAAAGAAGCCTGAATGTGTTACACTGTACAGTGCTGTTATATACTCTGTGTATAGTGCTGATATAGTAATTTTTTTAAGCTATTACAATTTGAACAGGTTCAAAACAGTTTGTAGAACAGCAGTACAGAAAATTATTTCCAGTATATAGAGATCCATAGAACTACTCTCTGATTCATGAGATGTCTGCTTTTTTTTCCCCCGAGCAAATCAGACACATAGGGTGTGTTCGGAAAAACAAGACGAGGATTCAAACAGGAAATTGTGTGCATTTGGTAAACAGCTCCCAAGCTGACCATAAGACAACCACAGCACAGACCGTGTCTAATAGATCAAGCTTTTACCAGCTATTTGTGAGCCTGTTAAGTGTCTAGAAATCAGCAGCCTTAAACAAGAACTCTTTTATCGAATCAGTTGAATGAACCTGAAATAACCCAGAAAACAGAGTGAAATTCATCCTTCGATCGTTCAATATAAAGCGATACCTTTTTAGTCCTGTGATTCTCAAAGTGAGGTCTGTGAAGGGAAGCATAGGCAGGGGCTCCATGATTTTTAATTTAGTTAGGGTGATGAAAATCACGATCATTAAAGTTATTAAAGTTATTATTGTGTTACACTTATTAACCAATTTGTCTTTCACTTTAATTGAATGTGTTTAATCAAAACCTTAATAACACTAAAACTATGCAGCTATAAATAATGTCATCTTGAACCTAACGTCTTCTATCAGGGTAAAGTTCAGGAATACATAATAATGATATCTATGGCTCTAATAAATAGCCAGATTATTACTGTACACATTTACATAATGAGTTTAATATTTGAACAGCTTGATCATGTTCATTATCTAAATCTGTACTGAGGGAATGTGTGGAATTTATGCTACATGCAATAAGGTGCCTGGCTGTAAACCATCTGAAAACCCCAGGTTTAGACATTATGAATTACTAAAATGCCACAATGTAATTGTGTGCTAAAAAAAAAAAATGAAAATGATCAGAAAATCACAGATTCTAGATCATGGTTTTATTCTTTCTATTTCTAGTCTTTTTTATTTTGTGAAATGGCTGTGGAATCAAGGAATTGTTTACATATATCCTCAATATAGAACCAAGTACCATGTGTAACCTATACTTTTGGATGAGGAAGGGTGATTAGTGGTCAGAAATAATGCTTTCATTCGCATGCAGTTGTTAGAAAAATGAAACTTTTAACCTAGACTCGACCTTACCTTTCACAACTTTTCATACAAAATGAATTGTTAATTTGCAAGCATAACATGTGAGACCAATGATGAATAAACAATGATGTTAAATTTAAAGGTTAAGACTCTTAAAACGTGCCACTTAATGTCAGAACACTGAACAATGAATGACTATAAACAGAAATTAAGAAAAAAAAAATTAGGGAGACTGGAGATTAAATATTTTAATCTAAAGTGCAAAACAGGTTGATGTTTTCAACTGTGATTTAAAAACAAAAAGAGCTGCAAATGCTATATAAAATGTGGAATAATGTAATAATGGGTAATGCGTCATAGAAAAATATCACAAGTTCAGCAATTATCTGGCAATTCAAATGAAAATATAGTTACAATGAAGTCTTCTTGTGGAAATTTGCAGCATAATGTTCATGCATCGTAGCTTCACTGTTGTGGCTAAATGACGATCTGGTTAGCACTGTTTGCTAAAGGTGTATTTAATAGAGTGTCTGGTTCGTCCCAAGAACTAAAGAATGATTAGAAGGAGAGCAACCACCAAAATCCCATTATAACCACAGTATTCATTCTTATAGCACAGAACATGGTCAGAACATGGTGATTAAATTTCTATACCAGCAGCTCTGCCAGCTGTAAATCAAATCGCAGGTTTATATTAATGCACTCGTTCTAATATGTTAACGTTTCTACAGTAAAAACTTACACAGGTCAGATGCTCAACATGACCTTAAACTGATAATATCTGACTATTTCTGACCCTTCATTTGCAGGGTCAGTGTCAAGTGAATCTTGTAAATACAACGCAGCTAAATCAAGCAAAAAGAAAGCTCTCTCACGAAGTATTGATCCTCATCAATTGCTCACAGAGTTAGACAGAGTAATCAGTCGGCTTTTTCTTGTTTTCAAATCTGCTCCAATGAAAGCATTGATTGTCAGAGTTAACAAGATCTAGAGGCTTAAGATTGTATTGGAGCTTTTGAAATAAACTTTTCCCTTTCCTTCGCTGAGCAGCACAGTTGCTGCCAGGACTCCGTGTGCCTCCACCTAGCAGAACAGCTTTAATGAAAAAGAGAGATGGAGAAAGAAATGATGGTGGGGACAAGAAAAGCGATCTCACCTGATGTCAGAGATTTCCAGAAGGCTGTAAACATGATTTTCTTCCACACACATGGATTTTAGGATTTAGCATTATAAATATGTAATATATTCCAATCGTGAGAAGGCCTTGCAATAACAACCCTAACAAAACCAACAAAAAAAACATCCTTGCTACTTCTTGCATGGTTTCCTCCATGGTAGCCTGCCCTGTAATAAAGAAATGCAGATACAGGAAAAAAGAAACACCTTCATGAAATATTTAGCGTGTGAAACGCTGCTTGTTAGCAAGCCATGCATAACAGAGATGAACAACTTCCTTATAAGAGGTTACTAAGTGATGACTGGAATGCTTATTGAACAGTAGACCTAATGAATTTTCTTAGACTGTGATTTATATATATATATATATATATATATATATAAACCACAACTGGTCAATTAACTTCTTGTCAATCAATTGTCCAAATACCTTTGAGTCCCTGAAAATGGGCTTAAAATGGCTGTAATTCCTAAAGTGAAGTGACTTGTGGCCAGGTATGGTGACCCATACTCAGAATTTGTGCTCTGCATTTAACCCACCCAAGTGCACACACACACCGTGAACAGAGAACCTGGAGCAGTGGGCAGCCTTTTTTGCTGCAGCACCCAGGGAGCAGTTGGGGGATCGGTGCCTTGCTCAAGGGTCTCACCTCAGTCATGGTATTGAGGGTGGAAGAGAGCACTGGTCATTCACTCCCCCCCACCTACAATCCCTGCCAGCCTGAGACTTGAACCCACGACCTTCAGGTTGCAAGTCCGACTCTCTAACCATTAGGCCACGACTGCCATATTTTTGTGGAACCTCTTAAAATAAAGCTGAAAGTCTACACTTCGATCACATCTTGATTGTTTTATTTCAAATCCACTGTGGCGGTGTATAAAGGCAAAATCACAAAAACTCTGTCACTGTCCAAATACTTCCGGACCTGACTGTATATATCTGTATATATATATATCAAGTCTGCCCGTTTTCACACTAATAAGGTGTGGCTGTGTGAAGCCCAGCTGGCTCACTGCTTAGTGCCACACCTTACTATCTGCTTTGTATGTCAGTCTATTCAATTATTTTGATGGGAGTTCATTTAAACTTGCTCTTTTGAAACTCAAAATGCAAACAAATACAGCCACTCCCTCATGTTCCCTCATGTAAAGCCACATCCCTAAAATACATGTTGCCGCAGCTAGGTCAAGTGAATGCTTATGTACTAAGGGGAACTTTCTGACTTAACAGGCAACATGATTTTGTTTCCTCTATGCTTTTGTTTTTTTGGTATTTGAGCTTTGCACTTCTCTATATAGAACATTGGAGGATGATCCACGTTATAATCAATCAGTGGCTTCACCTGGAGCTGGGAGTTCTCCAGGTCATACAAAAAAAAAAAAAAAAAAAACAGTGTGAGTGATAAAGCCCTATGATTTGCAGCTGCACTATTATATTGATTGTATGGTTTTGTCTTTAAGGTAGTTTTATTCCTTATATTTATTGTCTTATTTAACAGAGCTAACTTGGGGTAGAATAAAACCCGAAATGTTCTCGTGACATGTCTGTGTCTCTTATTTATTAAGTAAAGTAAGTAAGCAAGCAAGTCCAAGTATGCGAAGGTAAGTTAGTAAGGATAGAAGGATGAAAAGAAGGAGGGATGTGTAAATATGTAAGTAAGCGTAGGTAAATAAGTAAAGGCTCAAGAAAAAGTAAAATGAAGTAAGCGTAAGTAAGTAAATAAACATAAAGAAACAATGGGTAAGCATGTCTAAGAAAGAAAGTAACTATGTAAGTAAGTAATTATGTAATTAACTAAAAATTAAGTAAGTCTAAGTAGGCAAAGAAGTAAGTAAATATAAAATTAAGTATGTGTAAGTAAGTAATGTTAAGAAAGTGTAAGTGTAAGCAAGTAAGTGTATAAGTAAGTAAATAGGTGAGTGTAAGTCTAAGTAAGTAAGCATGCAAGTGAGTGAGTAAGTAAGTAAATACATGTAAGCAAATACGTAAGTGTAAGTAAGTGTAAGTACGTAAGTAAGTGTTCGTAAGCAAATGGGTGTAAGTATGTAAATAAGTGTAAGCAAATAAGTAAGTGTAAATAAGTCAAAGTATGTGTGTAAGTAAATAAACATAAGTAATAAATAAGCAAGTGTAAGTTGGTAAGCATGTATGTATGTAAGGTAGTAAGCAAGAAAATAAATGTAAATAAATAAGTAAATGTAAACAGTTAAAAAAGTAAGTAAAATTAAGTAAGTAAGTAACTACAGTATCTAAGAAATTACACACACACACACACACACACACACATATACACACAGACATACACACACACAATACGCATTCAAAGCTTCTCAAGAGCTACTGAATATACGCATGCTCTTTATTTTAAAGGGGGTGGAGGATGTGTGATGTTACAGTGACTTTTCGGTTTTATCAGTGCTTGAGAAACCGTCAGGAGTAACTGGGTAGAGAATCTACAGGGTCAGAAAAGCAACATTTGTAGCAACCATTTCCACAATATAAGAACCGGCCTGTCTATTCAGAGCTTTAAAACTAACAATTAACACTCTAAACTGAATCCTAAACCGAACTGAAAGCCAGTGAATGAAATCTATACCAAGGTAATACCATCCTTTTTTTTTTTTTTTTCACCTGACAGTAGTCAAGCAGCAGACAAGAGAACAATGACTGATCCAAGCACATAATGTTTTAAAGTAATCCAGAGTGGATGAAGAGAGTTTAAGCTCATCTTAGATGACATCCATTCCAATTAACTGAGGCTTTTTAAGTGCACTTTAATTTGGTCTGTCTGTTGTTCACTGTAGGTTGTAGATTACTGCAGTCCTTTTCATCATTCATAAGCCATTAGTTAACATTGCTTTGGCATTCCTGCAGTGTATTTAATGATGCACATTTTGACAATGGTCCAGTACGAGGTTATGACCAGAGCTGGTTTAAAAAAAAAAAAAAAAAAAAAAAAAAAAAAAAAAAAAAAAAAAAAAAAAAAAAAAAAAAAAAAAAAAAAAAAAAAAAAAAAAAAAAAAAAAAAAAGTGAATGCAAAAAATTTAAACGCAGACAACACTGGATGATAACATGTAATGTACATGTAATGAATTGGAATGTAGCATGTAATGGCTGTAAAGTCCTTTAAGTCAAAAAAAAAACAAACAAACAAACAAACAATTTTATTTAAATACTAAATCATAATTTCAGATTTTCTTTTTTTTCGGGACTACCCCAAGGTTTACACAGCCTTAGCATTTTTTACATTCTTGCTTTAGTTTGACTGCTACTCCTTTGTTTTCTTCTTTTTCACTCTTTTTCCTCCCTTCCTCTCCGCTGCCTCTCTCTCTCTCTCTCTCTCTCTCTCTCTCCAGCTTGGAAGCCGCAGCCCGAAAAGATTAGCTCGGCTGTCCCAGCCTTTCATCACAACACACCCTGGCTCCGCCTATGGGAGGGGTTTCAGAGTAAACCCCGCCCCGTCTCCCACAGATAGTGAGAGAGAGGGAGGGAGGGAGGGAGAGCGGGACAGAGATAGGCACAGAGAGAGCGAGAGAGAGAGAGTGGTACTCGGTGAGCGCGAGCGGAGACAGAGACCGGCCGCACATCAACAGGAGACTCAGACAGTGCGCACACACACTTCTGCACACACACACACACACACACGCACATATACACGCGCGCGCTAGAAATAAGCATCAGAGCACTCAAGAAGAAGAAGAAGAAGAAGAAGAAGAAGAAGAAGAAGACAGAAACTCATTTCTTCACACAGAGGATTCAGCAAGAAGCGCGCCCTGGCACGAGCCGCGAGAAGTTCCCGGCTGTCTGTCACAGCGCCCCAGAGCCTCAGAGGTCACCGACACCTGCTCGTGCCCACCGCTTCCGCGATGATGGTGCTGATCCTGCTGCTCTTCTGCCTCCCGGTTCACGGTAAGCGCACCGGCTCGGGTTTATTTCCGCGCTGTCCCGCGCGCCTCTGCCCGGGAGCGCGCGCCGAATCCAGGCACTGAACGACTTGCTCCCAACGGATGTGTGGCTGTTTGACATGCTGTGTTTTATTCGCTTACACAAACACTCCTTGTGCATGATTACAGAGTTTTCTATTAATTATCATGCATTGTCTTCAGGATTGTTCTCTCTCTCTCTCTCCACACACACACACGCACACACACTGATATGGGATATAGTTTGCAAAACAGAGCATACACTCTTTATTTATAGTCCCGACTCCAGTTCGGATTGAATGGCTGGCTTTTTTATTATCTTGTTTTCATTCTCACGTGCATGATCCTCACTTATCCTGGCTGCCATGTACAAGGCTTTGATTGTTGGTGTGTGCATGTGCGCATCCATAAGAAAGTTACCCACTAACACATGCACACATTAAGAGTGTTTCACGACTCATTCATTCATATTCATGATGCTGTTCATGACTAGTGTTGTGTTTTGGTGCTGAATGTGCCCAACTCTTCACCACAGCTTACACACTGTTCCTTCTCCGACCGGAGCTCCACAGTAGACCTCAGCCGGAAGATGTCTGTGTTTTCTTCTGCGTTCCTCCTTTTGCCATCAGGTGGTTTTGTGTGACACGGATTCCCCTTAAACCTCAGGGTCACCCCCCCAGGGGACGTGACTGACCAGAGCTGTCTGAAAGCTCAGGGGTCCCCTGGTGACTGTTTTAATTTGCGATATGATTCACAATACAACTTGCAGCTAATCCTGAAGAGTCTGAGAAGGCAAAACGGTATCTTCTCTATAACATGACTGACCAGCAGATTGGCACTTCAGATCGTGTCTAGAACCCTATTGTACCCGAATAGAGTTCTGACAGCTCAAGACAGAGACATGTGACGTTCAGGTCTTGCTTGCTCACTATCTTCTTCTCTTTATGCCATCTGTGCCTTCTGCTTGGATCTAAGAAGCTGCAATTTTTACACGGCGTGCAACAAACGGAGCCAAACAGGCACCCTGGCGTGAATTTAATGATTTCCTTGTTTCATGATTTCTCAGCCAGTACACTACCTTTCATGTAGACTCACTCGTACAGACTGCGATATAGCAATCATTAGTTACAGCCATTATTGCAAACTGTTGATCTGTTTGTTTGTATCAGACTGGAGTCAGGTGCTAAAGCATAATTATAAATTATTGACTAAGCTATTCATATTTTATATTTTTTTTTATATATAAAAAAAGTTCCTTTGCACATGTATAATCCTAACATGCAAAGTTGCAAAGAATCTAGATTCTTCTACATTTTTATAACTGTGTCCTTTTGCACATCTATAATCTCGACAGATGCTTGGGGATAATTTCTGTGATATTTATTCACTTGTTTATCTATCTATCTATCTATCTATCTATCTATCTATCTATTTATTTATTTATCAGAAAGGGCAGCTCGGGATGACGAGAAGAGCTGGAAGTTTGATTGCATTTCTTGTTGATTTTGTTGCTGTGTACTTTTGCGCATCTATAATCTCGACAGGCTGCCAGGTTTATGATCGGGGTTAATTGTAGGATGTTTATTCACGCTTATTTATTTATCGCGAGAGGGCATCGAGATGATGAGAAGAGCTCGAAGTTTTCTCATGATTCTTGTTGATTTTAAAACTATGTACTTTTGCACTTTCCCTAGTCTCAGGAGTCTAACAGGTTTTTGATTTGAGGTTATTTATTTATTTATTTATTTTATTTTATTTATTTGTTTATTTATTTATTTATCACAAGTAGACCAAGGTTATGAGAAGAGCGCGAAGTTTGCTCATGATTGAGGATTTTAATATTGTGTACTTTTGCCCACGTA